TTTTTTTTGCCCCCGTGTGTCATTTCCCCAGGCTTTGTGAGGAGAAGAAGGAATTCAACTGCAACCCTGGACTGGGTGGTCCTGTCCCCCAGAAAGCATGTGCTGGGACCAGGGTGGGAGGAGGATGGCAAAGCTGCGACATTCCTCTGAAATAGGGCAGAAAAAAGGTCCGCCCTCATCCCCAGCTCCATTGCTTTCCATCCCACCTCCTCCCTTCCTCTCCCAGCGCTGGGTTTAAACACCCCGTGGGTCCCTTCTGGGCTTGCACACGCCTGTCTCAGGGCAGAGCCGCACGACATCTCCCGTCCCTCCCTGCCTAATTCCTCGGGGCACTGACCTGCCAGCAGCCCCAGGGCTCGGAGCTGCACAAACCAACTTGGTTTCGCTCATCTCCCGGTGCTGGCAGCATCGTTACCCCTGGGTACCTGGGCACAGTGGGTCCCACATCACCCACAGTTCTCGCAGCGCCCACGTGCTGGGGGGTCGGCAGGTTTTGCCCCCTTCTTAGGTAGCTGAGACGTTGCAGGGGTTGATGCAGGTGGAGGAAGCAGCAAAACTGGGCAGTTCCCTGGTTGTGACGGGCTAGAAATGCTGGATTCAAAGGCAGATCATGGATGAAAGCTGCTTGCACACGTATGTGCATCTATAGGTGCATTGTGCAGATCTACCTCAGCATTTCTTTTTAGTGAAAACAGGCCTTTTCCAAACTTTCAGGGCACCACAGGTTTCCTGTGGCATCTGCAGGATGCCGGGAGGTCGGGGTGACAAGTGCGGCTGTCTGGTGGGTAAATGGCTGCTCGCCGGGCAGGGAGAGGTGAAAGGAAAACAGCCCAGGCCAGGAGAAGGCATGAGATTTTAACCATTTTAAAACTGAGATCCCTGCCTCAGGATGTCTCCTGCCACCCGAATATCCTCTGATGAAACCTGCAGAAGAGAGGCGGCTCTCAGAGCTGCCTGTCTGTCTGTGCATGGCTCCAGCCAACTCTTTTGTGGTTGCGGAGATTCCTGGGATGGTGTCTCCAGCGGGAAGACACGGATTTGTTGTACGCCAGCTGCCCATGGGGAATACAGATGTGCTGGAGGACGCTTGCTTGCAAGAAAGGCCATAGTCAGCTACACGCTACCTTGTCTGTCTGGCTAAGCTTCGTGGTTAAAGGCAGCCCAAGAACTGCAGGACCTGAGAGGTGCTGAAGCTTGTGACACTGCAGTAAGGCTCCCGAGCAGCCAAAAAGCCCCTTTTTATTCCAGAGCCCTCATTCGCTCTCAAACTCGACCCAGCAGTGGCAACCCAGGAGCGGGATCCCCCGGGCTGTGCCTGAGCGGCGGTAGGATGCGCAGCCGGCCTGATCTCCACGTGCGGATGGAGCCGAGTGCTCAGGCTGCGGGAGCTGGGGCTCTTGGTTTGTATTTTGGCTGTTCCTTTCCTGGACTTGTTCCGCTGGAACAACAGCTGGCTTGTGGAGTGGGTACGGGGCTGAGTTTGAGGCTTGTTTTGTTTTTGAAGCTCTTCTGGGCTCTGGGCTGAGAACCCAACAACCTTGGAGGCTGTGGAGATGCCTGGGAAGCCTGGACACCCACAGCAGCTGCCAGCACCTTGAAACACCTTTCGTGGCCTTCATTGAGCTGGTCAGTGAGTGGTTTAACCCTTTCTGGCCCTCTGCAAGCAGAACGCACTGACTAATGCTGCCTGCAGCCCTGGCCAGGTTTCTGCTGAGCCTGCCCCGTTCCTTATACCCACTGTGAGTCCTGGGGTCTCGCTCAGCCTGCACCCCAAGTCCTCTCTCCCAGAGGGTCATGGGATGCGTGAACACGGAGAAGGGCACGAGGGATGCCGGGAAAACACCGGTCAGTGTGTTTTAGAGCAGTTGTTCGGGCAGTGGAGAGTGCCGAGGGCTGTGTGCGAGCTCCTGCAAACTGCTGCGTGCAGAGCAGCCCCTGACCTGCTGCCTGGAGGAGACGGGCAGGGGCCGGTCGGGCAGCGACGCCGCCTGCCTGCTGCCTGCTGTGCACATCTGGCAGAGAGCTCGGGGATGCCTCTCTGTCCCTCCTGGGCACAGGCATGGCCTGGAGCAGAGCCAGGGGCCACCGTTGCCCCAGCACAGTCCGGTTTTCTTTCAGGCGACGTTTGGAGAAATACGTTCTCCTGGATGTGGCTGTCTCTTCCCTGTGCCGCTGGTGTGTGGGCGCTGGGTTTCTGGGGCAGGACAGACCTGCCCAGAGCCAGAGCTGATGTCTGAGCAATGCCTCTTCACTTATATTTGTTTTCTAGAGCTGGAACTCCCTAATCTTGGCTAGGTCTTGCTCCTAAGCAGCGTGTTGCTTGGGGCAGCTTCTGCAAAGCTCTCCGCTCGGCCCTGCGCAGGGTGGGTGGCAGTCCAAGGACAGGCTGTGCACGGGAAGGGGCTGCTCAGCGGCTCTGGGGTGGGCTGTGCCCCCCCCCCCCGTTGCAAAGTACCGGTGCAGAAACACTGTCGTCTCCGAGTAGCTTAGTGGGAGCAATTCTGATTTGGATGGATACTTATAAGGATGCCCATCTGGTAGAGGGGTTTCTTTACAGTTCTTTACATCTGCAGTTTCTTTACAGGCTGCACATGAAAGGGGACATCTGGGACTGTCACGTGCCAAGGAATGCCCAGCTCATAGGTTACCTGCACAAAGTCTTTTGCACGGGACATTGTTGGGTGTCACACATCCATGCAGCGGCTGTTATCTGGGCAGACGGATTCGTTGTCCCCACCAATTCCCTTCCATTAAGTGTAGAACTGAGAAAACAGTCTCAAAAAGCTCCGACAGCTCCGTTTGCAGATCTGCCGCCTTCTGCTTCCAGGCATGCTCCCCAACGCGGTGCACGGGGGAAAAGCAAGGTACAGCTTAGGGAGGGAGGCACATGCTGCAAAGCACGGCTGCGTGAAGGCCCAGTGCGTGCGTCCTGGCCTGCCCCCTGTTAAAATACAGCCTGGGATGGTCGGAAACGAGCTTGCGCTGCCAGCGTTGTGAGGAGGCAGCTCCGAGCCCAAACCTGCAGG